AAAAAAAAAAAAAAAAACAAGTCAAATGAAGCATTGGATCTTTGCAATTCAAAAGCACAGAAACAAAATTTAGAGGATCAAATTTATTCTATATGACTCGGCCAAGGTATAAAATCAGAAATTCATCATCTAATTCTATTATCCTACAGATAGTATTCAGTAGTTGAAACAGATCAGGATAAAGTGAACATACGATTTCTGCTTTAAACAATAACCAAAAAAAAAAATAGTAATGACAATCCATAACCGTCGAGAGACGGAGAAAACATTTGTAATGGCAAGTGCTCGTTGATCGATTTCGAGGGGGATTGGGGTAAGGATATGGAATTGAGGATAAGACTTTGGCCTTCACATTAAATGCTAGATCTTTTTTTGTTACTGTTCTTGGGTTAAGGATATGGGATTGAGGATAAGACTTTGGCCTCCACATAAATGTTACTGTTCTTGGTTTTCTTGATTGTCTACTGATTTTGTCAGTTAGGGTTATGATTTTATGAGATGTTGAGGAGCAGCAGTACCTCAACTCTACAACTGCTGCAGATTCTGCTAAATCATAGAAATATTTCTTTCAATATTCATAAATTATTAACCATTGAAATATTTTTTAAAATTTCTAACAAAAAGTGCCATTTTTTTATTTATTTTTTTAATATATATTTCTGTTCACTGATTCCAAAGAAACCCAAAAACAAACAAGAATTAATAATCAAAAGCAGATATTTGGGGAAAAAGAAAAGAAAAGAATAAAGGACATGGAGAAATATTCTTCTGAAACAGTACTTTTCAAATGTTTTCTGTTTATCCAAAAAACACACACATACAAATATACAGAAAAAAGCATATCATCATGATTCATGAGAGAAATCAAACTCAAATCAATCTCCCATTCAGCAGCTATCAGTACTCATGAAATCAAATCAATGGAGTCCCCATACAGTACAAACAGGAAAAATTCACGAAAAACAGTAAAAAAAAAAACCGACACAAGCGCATAAGATCACAAATACAAATACTGTACAATTGATGAACAGATCAATATGCATGTACAGACAAAATCAAGCGGCGAAAACCGACGAAGTAGAGAGAACACGAAGCACAAACCGATAATCCCGACGACATTGCGAATTGTTGTCTGCGACGCCATCTTTGCGACTTTAATCTTATATTATCCTGAGCAGAAAAATTTCTCTAGAGAGAGAATGAGAACGTTAATGGCGGACGATGGAAGTTCATGTGCAGCGTGTGT